CAAAAGTCTACTTACCGTCGCCACTCACATTCAAGCCACTTTCGTAATATTGAGGTTCTAAAAAAAACCATCATAATTATTCAATAATACGTAAATAAAGTGAAAAAAATTGAAAGTTTTGTATCAATTAATTACCAAAGATCATTAAAAAGCGTCCGGACTGCCGACTGAGGGAAAAGGAAGGAGAGATCTTGGGGCATCTACTTCATCAAATGCAGCTAAGCCAAGCCTCCCCACACTAAGTTTTACGCCTTTACATTGTATCCAGCATCTCCGTTAAGTAAGTGTATCATGAAAGTGGCTTATTACTTTCGAAAGTTAGTACAGCAAACTTTTCAGGCCCCTCGACACCCCCAACCATTTCAGCTGGCAATTAACACTTTCTTTGTTGCATCGTTCAATTCCCTGTAAAAACGCACCAATTTTACATTCATGTTCGTGGCCCCAAATGACCAGATCGAAAAACGAGGGAATAAGATTTTCCGGCACATGTCCTCCGGTGGATCGTTCTCGTGTCCTTACAGGTCGATTTTGATGAAGCACAAGGATATTGAACCACGATTCCGGATCTTCTCTGGGCCGCAAAAAACGGATTTCCTCCTCTGAAAAAACCATTACATTGGATCGGTCAATAATATCAAAGAGTGGTCCAATATACTAATAATTATTAATATGCATCAGTGCCGAGTAGCCAAAGTTCCAGTTTTGCTAAAAAAAAGTCCAGCAAGTACTTTTAGAAAATACCAAAAACCCCGGATCCAAGAAGAAATACAACGACCCACAGAACTAATTAAGAAAGCAAAAATTTTGTTCAACAACCCCAGCCTTGAAAAGAAAATAAGAATCGCGCCTCTAGCACCACTGATGTCATGAGGAAGCGCAGCATCGAAACAACAGCTGATCAAAGTAACTATCAAGCTCCGCCACTTAGAAGAAATACCTCGGAAAGCCCGGCAGAGACGATCATCCCGTTGACTGCCAATACCATACAGTGCCAGTTTTGTTTCGTTTTTCATCAGCAGTAATGGTGAAACGACAAATTTATCAATCTCTTCAAATTTACCAAATAAATTGATCAGGCCGGACTCGTGCAACACATCCAACGCTGTTAGACCCTTCAAATTACAAAGCTCAAAAAGATTTCGATAATTCGTATGCATTTCATTTGATGGTGTCAGCCGCCAGCAAAGGAAATTTACAAAAGGATACCTGTGATTTAATTGATAAAAGTGGAGTTATTAAAGAAGAAAATACTCTATTTATCTTTCGCAAGAATTTAGTTCATATGGGTTCAGTTGTTAAGGGGAATAAGCAGGTGGCACAGACCGACAGACAGATAGGCAGACGGAGACAACAACTCACCCACAAATTAATCCTTGAAAATAGTGTCCATAAATGAACAGTGAAGCGAATAGCAGGATTAGTATCGAAATTTATATCTCTTGTAATTAATGCACAAAAATTATTTCAATTAATAAGCAAAAGTACAACAAAAACAGCTCAAGTTTCTCGAAACAACAAAACCTTTACCTTGCCAGTGAGATCATCGTGATTTCCATGAATCGTGAAAATCGGCAAGCCAACATTGATGTTACTATCCTGAATAGAGCAATACTGTAAACCGAAATACATAAATGGCCTGCGCAACAACTGCCGGTGTGAAGGTGCGTTTTTATGCACAGTCCCCCGCGGTTTTTATCGCTAACGGCACTGTTTTTCGGGCCGATCTTCTGTCTAAGAAAATTCAGACTGGCCGCCAGGGCTGTCTGTAAAAAGCCCTTTAAAATTCCAGTCTTCTACTTTTTCAGGTTTTCGAGTTAATCACTTATCCGTAAAAAACTTTCACGGACCCGTAAGTGGGAACCATGTGAGTAAAAGCGTTCTTTTTGGGGGCCGGTACTCGTATGTGCATGTATATTAAGTTCTCAAAGTTTCAGCCCTGCAGCTTTTATAGGTCTCGAGACGAATAATCGGTACGGACGCACAAGCACGCACATACACGCACACATACACACACACACGCACAAAGAAACGCATAATAAATGATGGAAAGAAGAGTGAGAGGGCCGAAAACTTCGTTCCCAACAGGATGCGTATGTTGTGGGAGTGGAGTGAAAAGAAAAATACAATAATACGATTAAAGTGACATCATTCAGCTGGTAAATGCACCTAAAGTTTGATTGAAAATGAACTGCACTCTGATACGAAAAAACTGGCTCTTTTAGTACATACTATGTATTCGCCTCCAGTTGTGAATCTGAGGGTCCATAGTTGCCAGAAGAAATCCTTACAGATTTAACTCCTACCACATGTAAACAGCGATCGCGATGAAAGTAATAATAAAAATAGCGGCGCGCACCAGGGTAGCCGGTGCGATCATGCGTTTGGTGCAATTCCGCCCAACGAACGATTGCTTGTTAATGCTGGAAAAATAGTTAGAAACTCTAAGCACCGGTACGTGAAAGTTGAATTTGAAACTTCGAAAAGTGAAACCCTTCCAAAATTTCATTTCCCTAATTTTCTAGCTTTCGAGCAAAACTTTTACGTGGTCGTACGTAAGACTTCAGCATACTTAGGGACTGAATTCGAATTTGTGAAGCCTCTGCTTAGCCAGGAAACATTCTGAAATTTTCAGCCTCATAACTACTTGGCTCCCGAGTTAGTGACTTTTTTTCGCCAAAACTTCCACGGGGACGTTGGAAATTTGCGAAGTTGTGCGTAAACAGGGAATGCCGCGCTAAAATTTCAGCGTTCTAGCTTTAGCAGTTCACGAGACAGTTTCCCAGCCAAAACTTCCACAAGACGACATTCAGTGGTGCGTGACGGCTGAATCCATATTTGCGGGAGTCGCAAGTTGACAAGGGACATCGCTCTAAAATTTCTTTTCCTCGACTTTCGCGATTCCCGAGATAATAATTTTCCCTGCCGAAAATTTCACGGGGCCGTAAGTGATACCTGAACGCGTATGAACGCTGAATTTGAATCCGTAAAGTCGTACGTGGGCAGGAGGCAATTACCTTAAAATTTCAGCCTTTTAACTTCCGTGATCCCCTTGATAATAATTTTACCCAACAAAACTTTTACGGGGCCGCACGTGTTACCTGCGGGAAGGCTGAATTTAAATTTGTGGGATCACATGTAGGCGAGGAATACGCCCTAAATTTTCAGCTTCCTAGCTTTTGTGGTTCCCGAGTTGGAAGCTGTGGACAAGTTGCTGCAGATACACACATACACACATACACACAAACACACACAACACACAGACAACTCCGCGACAATACGTGTTTTGTAGTGCTGCTACACAGCAACGCATAATAGAAATAGGAGTAATAATAACAGTGATACTGATAAAACTATAACAACAGTACAAATAATAGTTGCAATTATTGCTGAAGTTGTAATGTAAGAGGTTTTAAACAAAAAAAAGGGAAGAAAAATGAGGTTTAAGTGTAATTTGATAACTGCAAAGGAATGCTTCGGTTCATCAAGTCACCACACATTCATTTCCAGCACCACA